TTCAGATGAATTCCTTCCATCACGTAATTCCGCTCCTGGGATTCTTCTGGACTATAATAAATTTATAATAATGACATCTTCTAATGTTAGTTGGAAAAAGTAGTGTATATTCCATTTAAATCTTCGCTAGATGTTATCTCTTAATTTTTTTTGTCCTTATAAGAGACAAGCTCTCCAACTTTAATTTTGCTACATAACATAGTAATGTCACAACAAACTAATTAGTAATTTACTTGTACCTTTCTTCGCTAGTATTGAAATGTCTCTTTCTTGCTTTTGCATTAATTTTTGTATTGTATTGCTCTCTTAATATTAATTACGAGAAAAGGTCTGAAATATATTTTAATTTTGATCGATATTATTGTAACAATATTAAAATTTAGAAAGAACCTTTTATCTTTATACTATTTAATAGTGTATTTTAACAGTATATATGTGTTCACGTAAACATCATAAATATTGCTTAATTATAAATAGTAAAGTGTCCATGTGGACGCATATAAACCTTTAAAATACACTATTAAATAGTGTAGGGGGTAAAAGGCCATCAATTAAGTTTGGTATCGTAACAATAATTTCGGCCAAAGTTAAAGTATTTTTCAGGCCCTTCTCTCTTTAATTTATTTATTTGATTTTAACTTAATCTGGAATTAAAGAAAGTAAAAAGGATAAATCTTGTGATTATAAGTTAAAGATACGTAGAATATATTGAAATTATCATTTAATCTTATATTCTAATAGCAGAGTCGAGAATTTAGTGAAAGTTGTGCAAAATATCTTCACAGTTGTATTAAGAATGCATAAAATCAAATATATACTTATAAGGGAAAAGAGTCTGATATACCCCTCAACTTTGTCATTTGGAGATGATATGCCCCTCGTTATAAAAGTGTCACATATATGCCCTTACCTTTATACAAACGGGTTACATATACCCCAGCCGTTACAAAATGGCTCACATATACCCTTCATTTAACGGAAGTTAAAAAAATTAGTTTTAAATTTATATTTATTACTTTTAGTTTTTTAAAAAAATTATTTAGGGATATATATGATTCTTTTATCAAAGTTCAAGGTATATTTTAATTTTTTTAATACATAAATTATTTTTTGACTTCTTTTATTATAATTATTTGAGTTTATTATTCTTATTTTGTTTTTCTTTCATTCCTTTGTTTAAAGAAAAAAAATTTAAACTATTTTTTTTGTATCTGTTGTATTTCGATTTTTGTATTCGAAGAAAAAAATTGTTCATCTATAATAAGTTTTACAAGAATATTAGTGAAACATAGATAAATTTGATTCTCAAAATAATAATTCTAAATTAGTCATTGAAACAAAAAAAAATCAAAAAAATATGTTTGACGAGGATTAAATTTACTCATATGGGATTATATATGGTAGAAAATAATAATAAAAAGTTAGATTACAATTATCTTTTTTTCATTTCCGTTAGAGGAAAAGGGTGTGTGTGAGCTATAGGTTTATAAGTACGTGTATATTTGAGCCAATTTCATAACAAGAGGTATATCAGCTCCAAATGACAAAGTTGAGGAGTATATCAGACCTTTTTTCCTACTTATAATAGCTAACATTTAATTTATATACTCCACATAAATCCTTTCAACAAAAAATATGCGTCAAACCATCCTTCGCCTAAATATATTAAGTTGAAAATTAGAACATCTTTTTGAAAAAACCAGAAAAAAAATAAGAAAAAATGGGGTAAATCATCTAAAACGAAGAAAAGTCCATGGTAGTCTCATCTAAGCTTGAGTGTGATGGAGTAATGGTAACATCTACTTATTACTCTCTTTCTATTATTTGTCAGTTATAAATTTGTCATATTTATTAAAAAATAATGAACAGCCAAATATTTTGTCACACTAATCCTACTAATTGATGTTTTATATATAACTGCTTAGAACCATTCGAGAATAACTAATTAATATTAAGAGTAATATATAAAATAAAATCAACCATGGATTTGGTTTGTGAATTTTTTTGTTGTTGTGTAGCTCATGGATGATATAAGTAAGTTAGAATATTTGAAGAAAGATTTGGAGAGTAAATAATTAAGGGAAAAGATACATAAAGAACTCTTATAAATTTGATCGGATAATTTATTTTAGTACTTAAATTATATGAATATTTAAATATTTTCTTTAACATCTTTGAAGTAATTTAAAAGTGAGTGAAAACAGAGGTAAATAATTGAATTTTCAAGGCCATGACCTTTTTTTATTGGCCTATATATAACAAATAGTTAAATAGTTTTTTTTTACATAAATATGTAAATTTTCTTAATAAAGAGGTAAATGAATTAGTGGGTCTCCTTTTTAATTTCATTATTTTTTTTATTTTTTTTATTTTGTTGTCTTCTTCAATACACACCTTTCTCCATTAAAATATCTCCTCCATTATCATTCCCACCTTTATCTACTATTTTTATTTCACTAGTTTTTCACTAATACGTAAAATTCAGTAACAATGTCATCTTATTGATGTTAGTTTCACTCTTTATTATTGGTGACGAATATAAATTTTCTTAACTTTTGAGTGACCCATTATTATTTCTAGATCCATTCAAGTATTTCTCATAAAAAGTATATTTTTTTAATCAACTTTCTTATACAATCTTCATTTCTTATTTAAATTGTCAAGAAAATAGTGACTTTAAAAAAAAATTCATTCTCCAAGTGGTTAAATTCGCTAGGAGGGTTCGAACAAAATAATGTGAATATTATAGTGGTTTTCCTTCTATAAAGTGACTTAAAAAATTGTTAAATGGTGAAGAAGAAGAAAAGAAACTACTGAAGGTTGGAATAATGGTGAACAACGAGGAAATAAAAAGAAAGGGGGTGAGATATGCAGTTATAAATTAATTAATTGATATAATTAATCTTCAAAAGTGTTTAAGAAAATAATGTGGATAAGTAAAAAAAATGACATGTTGCCTACAAGGTTATGATGTAACGCTTATGTGGCTATAATCTGACGGATGAGAGTGGTGTAATAGTCTCTGAATGAAAAAAAAACACTTCAAAGATATTAAAAGGAATATTTTAAACATCCGTATAATTTAAGTACTAAAGTAAATTATTCGATTAAGTTTAAGGAGGTTTTATGTATTTTCTCAATAATGATTCGTCTTATTAGTTCAGTTAGTATTAATAAGAGAGAGGAAGAATATAGTCCAAATAAGATGTGTTTGAAATGAGTATATGTAAGTCAACATCGAATGGGGTACATTTTGTATAAGAAATAAACATCACAACAACTTTGTGTGGACTAATACATACTGATTTTGAATATATACAAACAAAATATTTAAATTTGTACGGAGTTGAATAAGTAGATACATGTGTCCTACTTGGCAATTCATGTGAGACATACGCCAAATAGGACATGTGTCTACTTGTTCAATGTAATTCTATACAAGTTTACATATTTACTTGATATATATCCAAAATTGGATAATATGAATTACAGTTAAGACCAAGTTAAAGAATATGTTTATCGTTATGCCATATTTTATCCTTCGTAGTTCCTCCTCGAAAAAACAAAGCTTCATTAGCTCAATTGATAAAAGATAGGAAGAAGTGTTGAAACGTCCTTAAACTTTGCACGAACTATTAGTTTTATTCTCTAATTATTGACAATCCTAAAAGTACCCCACTACTTGACTAACTTAAATATACCCCTGATCTTACAATATAAGTGCAATATTCCCTACATTTCCGTCAAGTTTAAAGGTATTTAAACACCTCTCTCAACTTTTTACTAAGAGTTTCATCCTCATACAAAGAGTTTGAGACCACTTGTTACGTCATGTTACTAATCGATGATGTATCTAATTTTAGTTAGTTAAGTAGAAGGATGTTATTGAGGTCGTTCAATAATTCGAAGATAAAATTAATAATTTGCATCACATTCCAAGATTTTTTCAATACTTCTCTCTAAAGATACTAGCTCATAAGCATCAAATACTGAAAACCCCCTTTTTAACGATTAAAATCAATTTTGTAAATAAACAGAATTTTTTAAATATAGGCGATTACCTGAAATGTCATAAATATTTCATCAAAGGTAAGTTTGATAGGATGATCTTTAGATCAACTATGTCGTATAGGGCATAGCAAAAAATCAACATGCTTATGAATATATCAGGAGAGACAAAATTAAAAATGAGAATGTAAATAATAAGATGAGAATGACCTCCGTATTAGACAATTGCTAAAATGATTCGGACATGAAGAGGAGGATAGATGCCGCAGTATCTAAATTCTAAATGTTGACAAATAAATTTTTGATTGTTCATATATTTACCCTTTATATAGCATACTATAATAAGTCGATGATTAAGAAACACATAACTTCCATAAGGGAAATGGAACTTAAACATTGATGAATTGATGTTACATTCCAAAAGGTTATATAAAAAAGAAAAGAACTGAAGTGACGTGCAAGACAAAAAAGTCACAATAACTCTTATTGGATAGTACTACTATAAAAATAGATGATAATTTGTGTCCACAAGTATAACTGATTTAACTGTTTTGAGTCTTTTGAAGGTGAAAAATGAAATTATATCTCAACTACTGCAATAATTTCATATCATGTGATCAGCACCAATTTTGGGGCCTAGTATTATTTTTTGTTCCTTTGTACTAATAGAAATTTAGCGGGAAATGACTGACAGCAACACAGTGTAACAATGATTTGAATTTATTCTTTCAAGTTTTTCTACCGGACCAACTAATTCAGATTCATACCAAAAAATCTTAAAAGCGTTCATCCACTCTAGTGATGGAGACACGAAAGGTGTGTTTTATGACAAAATTGACACAATGATGCATGGTATCTCATTAAAAAATGGATATGACAAGGCACACAGGAAGAGTAATCTGCAGTGAACAGGTTAGTGATATCTAAATACTCTTAAAACATATATTTGAGTGAGACACATTAGGCATTGAAATTTTGAAGGATCCTTTCTCTTCACAGAATACCATAAATTATTAATATTAAGTATAGGGCTATTCAAAAGCGAATCGAAATTGATAAGCCGAACCGATAATCAATAAGTCAACCCGATAAACTTCAAAACCAAACCGAACCAGCCGATACACAGCCCTAATTAAGTAGCTTCTACTTCATGTTTACCTTCTGGTGGTTCTTTAACATACTACAAGTAGCGAGATGAAGATGACTTGTAAAATGGCGACAAGTACAAACACATGGAATGATGACTCTATCCAATCTAAAATACATAACTAGATGCAAAACTTCTGCACAAGGTCACATCTGGATGATATAATCTTACTGTAACTCGCCATCAAGGAGTTGTAGACTGCAGTATTACGCAGCAAGTAGTGCTGATTAACATCCTTGAAACTGTGGCCTTGGAATTTGAGCTAGACCTTCTTCATTGCCGATATATTTATGCCAATTAAGAGTGAGGAGTACGGTGACTTACAGCTCTGGACTTGGATGGCATTGAGAAGATTAAACTAGCTTCAAGTCTGATTGCGCAAGGCAACTAATGCGCTTGGTTACAAGAAAGCATATTCTACAATGAGGTCACCAGTTGATGGATCGAAAGACGTTTCAATATCTGCTGAGTGACAATCAGTGGTGGCAGATCTATGGCTCCCCACAGCCACGGGCTCCTTCATAAGCTTTACCCCTTGCTTCCAGTATCTTTGTTCTGAATCAGATAGAAGATTTTTAAGTTAATGAAAATTCATTCAAGGATAAAGGGATAGAGCAAAATTTTGTGAAAAGAAAACAAGAAGCAAGCATTTGACACCCCAAACAAAATGTCTTAGCAATTACTGCTACATTGCGACTTCTCAAAGACACACCTGGTCCTGTAGACAAGACAATGGATTCTTCTGCATCCATCACCCAGTCGATCCAAAGAACAAATCCATGACATTTTCCATGTGAAATAAATTCTACCTGCAAAACCTTGGTTTTGTGAGCTAATGTACAAGCTGCCTTTATTGTTAACAGAATCTTGCCAGTTTCCACGCATGACCTGATACCTTAGCTTTTCCAGAACATGGGCTTATTGTTTTCAGGAAATTGAATTCCATGATAGTAACTATGTCGCTCATTTTCTGCAATTTTAAATCTCAATTGTATCAACATCAGATTTAAACTTTGTTGCATTAGATAGTCTAATTTGTAGCATTCTTCTTCCTCAAAGATGATGTGAACTACCTTGCTCTCCCCACATTGCCAGACTGAAAAAGGTAAAGTAGGATTTTCTTGTCCGGGAGGTAAACCTCCACATGCCCCTAACGTGGAATTGACAACTGAATGATCAAAGCCTTCAACATGTTGCAGGCACTGATGACTTTGCCAAAGGTCCTGCAAACAGTTTAACATGTCCATCACATGAATTTAACTCTTCTCATGGTCAAAGCATCAAACAGAATGCATCCATGAGCTTACAGGAAGAGACATCGCACAAGCCTTTAACAATCCTTTGCAAGGCATAATCACTGCACCTTCTGATAGGATTGAATCCAATAAACTTCGGTCCTTCCTACATATGATCTCATAATCAGAATAGATACTTTATAAGTAAATTCCCATGAAAAAAATTTCACATTTCTCATAGGTATTATAATAACCTCCACCTCCACGAAAGAATAAAGAGTCATACAGCAGCAGCAAAATTGAAGAACAGGAACATAATTATTTTTTTGATGACCGTTGTGTCCAGGCTAGCTTACGCGCACCTCAACTAATTCCACAGGATATCTTTCACCTCTACCTAGGTAACTCTGTCCACCAAGGCTAGAACAGAGAGGAAGAATCACCTAGTGTTTTTTGTCTCCACTGAGTTCTGAACTTGAGACCTCAGGGTTCTCAACCATTGCATATAGTGGCAGTTTCTAATCTCAGTATGTCCAAAGGTGGAGATTGTTTTTGGTCAAATGGTAACTGCTCTATAAATGCAGCTTACAATGATTAGAAATTTTTATTACGTTGATACAGTTAAACCCATCCCCTCCTCAAAACCCCATAACCAAGAGGGCCACAGTGGCATTTCTCATTTTACTCCCTTGGTGATTCAAATCCCAACCTTATGGTTGGAAGTAAAGGTTCTTTAATACTAATTGATCACTCCCTCGTTAGCTTAGAACAAGAAATACAGGTTTATATCCACTACAGCTTCTAAGAAACAAAATGATGCTCTTCTATTGGTAACTGACAGATTGTTAGGCAGTGGTGCAGTGCTTTAGTGCTGATTGTAATTCCAAAGCGGCTCGCAGGACATGTTGTGCCTATGTGTTCTGATTAGATTCAGGTTGTATTTGGAACTCAGTGAGGCACTAGCAAAGAGTCTCATTACATTTTATTTCATTTTATTTTTTGAGGGTCGGTCAAGGAGCCAACCCGATAAAGTTCCACAAAATTATGTCGGCCATATGTCTTAATAGCCATACAGCATTTGCCACGCAGGCAGAGTGGCATATTTAGCCAACAGACCCTTTTTTATTCATTACATATTACAATCAATATTACATATTGATTGTAATATGTAATTATTACAATCAATACTAGTAAAAAAATTCCATAGGTTTAATGACATCAATCCTCTTAGCTGTGTTGTGAAAGACATAACTGCTAATCCGCAGTGATAAGGGTATCAAAACAGTATAGCTGGGAAATCACTAACAAAAGCAAATGCAAGAAAAATATTACAAACATTGATCTAAAGAGACCACATTACGAGATTGTTTTCCAACAAATAATTTAAAGCATTCAGTGTCCAGCACTGAATAATCTATCCATAAAAGTGCAGCACAGAATCATTTCAGACAGCATCAACTCAGTACACTAAAATCAAAGGAACAAGTTACATCATATTTACCAGAACCGTAGATTTTGCCATGGAAGCACACTGTTGTTACCATAATAAAAAGGTTCCCCAACTAACAAGTCAATCTGCTGAGAAACAACAAATCATCAACATTTGCAAGGAAGTGGTATAGTGTTAGGCAGACAAAGTTCCATATTTGAGATGCCATGGAAAAATAGGTTAGAAGAGACAACAAGCAATCATGGTCGAGGTTCAAGAGAAAAATTGTTACATTTGTTACCTTCTCCTGACTACTTTGAGAGGTCAACAGTTCACTCATCTTCTGAACTTCTACATGATCCTTTGAATAACCATTTGCAGTTGCAACAGCTTGCAAATATAGCGCACCTTTCTCTTGCAATCCTGGAAACAATGATAGCACATGAGACCCTTTTGCGAGATGGGCAAGAGCAACCGCAAGAAATATGCTATCATCCACAACAACACACAAGGAGGGAGTTTTCTGCTTCATCTGTAAGGAGCAAAGGAGCACAATTAACTCCAACTGACTATTTGAAGTAAAAATAGCAAAACAAGCAGTCAGTTCCATGTAAACAATAATAACATGCATGATTGTAATTATGAGCACATATTATCTGACTGGCTTTGTTCTTCAGTAAGAATAATTAATGTAGGAAACAACATGAAAACTGATAGGACCCAAAAAATATCGGCAGTAAACAAAAAAAGATGTAGAACGAACTTGAGGAGCTATGCTGATGAGAACTTCCATTTAACAATGAATTTGGCACAATACTTGAGGTTACACTTTCTCCCCCGAAACAACCAATACTTAAGGATTTACACTCATGCCATCAGTAGTAGAAGTAATCACCTGTTGCTTAAGAAGCTACAGTTACTATGTTTGTCAGGGTGAAGTGACACTTCTTTGAATAAGTGTGCTTCAAAGCTATGTTTGGAGGATCTGACACGGCTATATGGCATTTTTGGAGTATCCAAACGACTTAATCAGAAAAGTGAAGAGTAATGTAATTTAAGAGACAAGTGGTCTCATTGAACCCATCTTTAAAAGATTTAACCACCAAAGAAAGAACATTTTGCAATCTTCTTCTACTTTGGTCAGCCAGTACTCTCTTTCATTAATTCTATTTCTGTTCACTCTTGATAGCTAATTTCTTCTACTTTTCTTCACAATGACTATCTTTTTCTTCTGATGTACAAAATCTCCTCTAGCTACTTCTGTTTTTGAACTTCTTCTCTTCTATCTCTCTCTCACCCTCTCCTGTTGTCAACAATTTCCTTTTTTTCTTCTTGTCCTTTTGATGAAGGTATATCATTAAAAGCCATCAAGTGGATGCATAGTTACAAAAAGCAGAAGAGAGTTTGTTAAGCCCTTTAGGATGTGTGAATCTAAATCAGGGATCTGACGAAGTCCAAAAATTTACAGGGGTTAACTTAGTCCAGCAAAAAAGATTTAAGTAAATATTTAGCTTTGAGACGGTGATTGGTGTTGAAATTCCATAAAAAAAATCAACACAAAAGATCCTCTATCGAATTCCTTTCACTGTTTCATTCTCGATTGTCCCGCTCTATATATAAAGCCTTATGGCATAGAAACAAAATTGACTTGCAATTGAAAATTATTAATACTGCTACTGAAGTAACTGACTAGCTGATGGGAGACAATGGGGTGATACTGGTTCCCGGAAGAGTTAATATCTCCATTAGCTAAACCCTTTCTTACCCTGCCTTTGGATTCGTATTTTGTTCGTACACAATCAACGGAGGCCTTCCCGACATATGTTGCAACGTCTCCAATAGCATGCTCTTACTTCGTCTTTCCCTTAATAATTTTATCGGGACCAATGCTACGAGCTTCCGGAATAGAATGGGATCTTCGTAAAGTTGATCATTATGAGTCTTACGACGAATTTGATTGGCAGGTTCAATGGCAACAATAAGTGAAAATTAATGATGAAATATGCACAACAAATATGTCATAGAAACACTTACAGATTCTGCCACTTGATAAAAAAAGATATAGCAAGGAACAAACACATTGAGAATGGAAGCAATAAAACATCAAATGATGCATCAAATATAATCAACTCAAAGGTAAAGTAAACCTGAGAGGCACCAAATACCATAAGCATGGAAAATCTGAAAGCATATGGCTTCAATTCATCAAAAGCTAACAAGGATATGATAACCAACATCAATTGCAAACATCCAAACATGTTTTCGCTGTTATTTTCTGAGTTCAGGTTCACAGTGCTCAATTCTAAAGAACTATACTCAATGAATCCACATGTGCAAACATTCTTTTTAGAAAAACTGAACAATTAATGTGGATGTACAAACATTCTTTTGGTTGGTGGTTCCATGGAATAGATGTGAAAACTTACTGCATTTTTTATAGCTTTCAGCATTGAGCATCTCCAATTGACATCACTATATAATGCAATTTTTTCTGGCAGCAAAGTGATTTGGTACTTCTGAGCACTGACCTCACTTTGTTCAAGTTCCAAGTTCTGGGACAAAGTCTTCATTTCATATGAGATGCTAGTATCAGTGTGAACCGCCAGCAAACTAACTTCTTCATCCTTCAATAAAGACAAACCTTTCTTTGGTATGAACCAAACACACTGTTTCCAGTGGTCACACCAATTCTGACTCCCTATTGTGCATACAGATAAAAGCACAAATAAGGAGTTATGTTTAACTCTGATACTAGAAAGCCTGTTAACTCATTTTTCCATTTATAGGCATGCAAAGGATACCAATAACAAATATAATAATGTGAAAGAGTACTCCTTGCAGCAAATCCACAAGTGAAAAAGTATTCAGTTCTATCCCAAAAAAAAAAAACGAAACGGTATGTATTTTTTATGTCAAAATCAACACTAAGGAAGTGCTAATTTTTATGATTACATAAAAGAAATTAAACAAGACTCAGTTTCCAAAAAAAAGAAATTAAACAAGATTATATGTAATTCTATCCAAATTGCCTCTAGAAACTACAAAGTCCCGCCCTAATATCAAAAGAAAAGAAAAACACAGAGATACTCCACTCACAGCTGATAGATGAATTAAATCCTTCCACGCTAGATGGGCAACTTATCCATTTGGGTGCAGTGGAGTAGAAGATAGTGCCTTTCTCATCAAGCTGGAGCAACCACCTAAAAAGTAACCAAGTTATATATTGTTTAACGTGAGAAAACAAAATCACTTCAGAACCAAAATAAGTACCATGAGATTACAGCATGAACAGCGCCAGTATCAGTAGCTTGTACACTCAGCTTTGTTACACGATGACTATCCGGCCTTCTCCAGAAGTCAAAATCAAATACTTTAAAGGGTTCTGAGAGCTGTATAAATTGAAGTGAGTGGTATTCCAGAAGTTGTCAATATAGAAACATATTCCGCTATGAAGTACTTTACCAGCTTGATGTCTTCTTCCAATGCATCACAATGCATGGAAAATTGTTGCCGTTTGACACATAAAGCTGAATCCATTCCTTCTGGAACAAGACAAATTTCATCTAGTACTTCTTTCTCAGTGTTATACAAATCATGCAGCTTCCACAAATCTGTGCTTTCTACCAGCTGGAAGGTAAGTTGGGGAAAAATAACTGCTTTATAACCAAAAGGAACCCAGTGGGCTGAAACATACTCTAACGATTTTAGTACATCGCAACCAAGTAATATAATGGCAGGCAAGTTATTACTCTTTAGCTAGGTTCAATAAATATAAAAGGAATATCTGATTAGTTTGTAGATCTGAAATGCGTTCTATTAACTGTATATAAGATGAGTTTATCTGAAATTTACTACGAAGCACTTGGAATGGCACCTGAATTTCAGCTGATGCAAAAACAGTAAACCCAGCCCGACAATCAGGACACGCACTGACACAAGTTATCTAAATGACTTAACCGATCAACCAAGAAAGGAAATTGAGCTATCTAAATGACAGCACACTAACAAGGTCAGTCAACTTTTGAAGACCCAACCAAAACTCATTGGTTTTCGGAGAGGACAAGTAACCAGTCAGTTCATGGAAAATTGCAGGTTTAGCTGAAAAGTAACTGCCTGCAACCAAAGGACCCTGACCCTACACCATCAGGTAGAAGTAGAACAGATATAAACCAATTGCTACGGGAAATTTTCCTAATAGTGAAAAACAAAGCAGAATATCTTTAATAGTGATCATTTTGCATAAGAAGAGCTCTTCTTTTCTTTCTATTCTTCTATATGTATCCATAAAAGCCCACTCTTCTAATTTTAACGTAACAAGAATTACACTAAAAGTTTTGAGTATAACGCAAAATGTTCTACATCTGTCATTAGAAATTAGTACGTGGTACAGGTAGGATTGTTGGCAAATAATATACTGTTCCATTATCTTTCTACAGCATATCACAATGGTACTACCTTTTTTTTAATCATGACAATGTTACAATTTTATTGTAGATGACGATATTTTTTTAATTCATTTAATCTCTGGTTACTTTGAGGTTTCCTCTTGCCTTAGGCAAGTGATTTATGAAATTGGTCCCTATTGTCAGCATATAGACTACTCATAGTAAGTCATTGTGCTTCTCTGACTCCCTAGTTGACCATAAGTCCTATTAGTCGGGTCAATGTCATTACGACGTGATGCAGAGTAGTCTTAAGATTAAATTAAATCAAAGCAAACTACAAGAAACAAATTAAACTTACAATCTGCAAAAGAATACTTAAATATGAAGCCATGGTCAAACACCTGACCATAAACCGTTGCACGGTAAGGCACTGTTTTTGGATTGTCTACCAGTAGCTGGTCATGAGCATGCTGCAGAGTTGGAATTAACCCTTCTCCCAAAAGCTCAGAGTCAAGTATTTCGCTAACCTGAATTTAGTGGTAAATGATTAACAAGCATTCATGCAACTGTACCATGCCATTGGTTAACAATCAACCATTCAATCTTTTTAACATAATAAAACATGGCAGATGTGCAGCGTGAATCTCCAAATGAGATAAGTGTTCAGAAAAGGAACCAAACCACCAACCCAAATTAAAACAACTCATTACAAACTGACACCCAAACAAAAATAAAGCATGGTAGTTTTTGGATTGAAAAATTGCAAAAATGGAACGGCTTTACCCCAAAAAAAAAACAATCTACATGATATGTAAAATAAAGTTCTTTATTGTCCCATTTTTATCATCCAATTAAATAATGAAGACTCTATAGGTAGACTTGAATTTATTTATTTGATAAATTAAGAAGTAAGCCCTTAAGTCTGAGTAAATGTTACTCCTGGAAGTTTGAAATTTATGTAGAAGTTGATCCTGTGTTATTATTTCAAGCAATAAAATATTATCAAGTAAGAAGTAGTGAAGAGAAAGTATCCATTTAAAGAAATAGACACCATTTACACTAAGATAATATTTACTTTCCTAACTACGGTTGTAGCTTAATATATGAGAATAGAGGTTCATTTTTAAGAGTGATGATATGAATTTTGTTTATATCATAACTACACCCTCACCCTTTAGAAATAGGAGCGCAAAAAAAAGAATATTCAGAAGCTTTGCATGAAGAATCTCATCCAAAGTTAGAGACCAAGACGCAAGTAAAAACTTTACAGGTAAAAGTAACTTTCCTGAACAAACTTGTTAGCAGTATTATACAATTCCATTACCACTTATATTGTACTACTCCCTCCATTCTGCTTCATATCATACTTTTTCTACTTGTAGACATTCCACAATGTTGACACCATAACGCAAATAAAGCTACTCTATACAACTTTCAAAAATTCAATTCATTTAATTATTGAAACTTTTTATACCTTTGATGTGATTTTTGCACATCCAAACTAGCTTTTTGACACACTACTTCAATAACCTTTTTTACCACCATTTATATAATATACATGTCAAATTAATGTCTTATACTTCGTGTCCAGTCAACCAATGTCATTTAAAATAAAATGAAGGGAGTACATAACATTTTAAACTTTGCACCAATGGCGTCAAACAAAATGGCCATATAGACTGGTAATTTTCATATACAGCAACCGGCCCGGTATCCACAAAACTTGAAGTAGAATGGCATCATGTTAAATAATGTTTACATAAACGAGGCAAAAAGAAGATTGAAATTTTTAACATATTTAAACAGTAAATTAGGTGAGTGCATCTTTCATTTAGTCCAGCAAAGTCTGTAACTAAAACTTCACAGACTAGCCCACATTGTACTCTTTTTTCCCCGACTGGATGTCGTGGAAAAAGTTCATGACTACTTTATCAATCATAGGCACATGTTCAGCGTAAAGTATGTCAATAGTCTGGATCTAGTAATAGGGAAAAAAAACTAGTGTACTCACAAGCACATCTGCCCGTGAAGGCATGTCCACACCAACTTCTAGTTCATCTGACCTCTTGTTAATGATGCGGATTTTTCTTTGCATACCATTGGCATGCAAAACCTTCCGCATCAATTTTACCATAGGAAGATATGACTCACAAGCGGTAACCATCCCCTTAGAGCCTGAGCTCTCCACCGAATCTCCAAGATCCATTGCTCTGGCTGCCATCATAGATAGTAAACCAGTTCCCGCTCTGCAATTTGTATTAAAAATAAGAACCTAAAATATATGTATGTTGACTCCCAATTAACAAACCATACATCCACCAATCTTAAGTCTTAAGACCTACCTAATTGTTGCAAAAAGTTTGTCAACAGTAAAGTCATAGTTTATACAGATCAAGCTTTTCTCACCTTTTTCCTTCTTACATTTGGTTGCTCTTACTTATCATATTACTATAACATATATTTTCTTTCATCTATTATCATCTTAAACCAATCTTACGGTGTTTCCCCGTTCAATTTTGTTACTTACTTCTCATTCCAGAAAAAGCTGAAACCTTATAATAGACCCTCTGTTGAATTCTTCATTTTCTGCTGATTCCATTCATATACATAGAGGGGCTGACTTTTGAGCTAAGTTTAATTAACACTACGTCCAGTGTCCAGGAAATATTCTGTATGAAAAATGTTTTTTATCTCGGGAATCATTTACTGGATAAGTTAAACAAAATGGAACATAAGGTATGTCCATAGATACTCAAAGTGATTCTTCTATAGTTATATGCATTATAAATACAAAATCCGATATAAGAAAATACAGTCAGGATAGTGATTTTTCCGACTTATTGTGCAGATAACATTCTTATTTCAAAGTAATTTAACTTCCGAAAATGATATATAACTAATGAATACCCAATATCGAGAACATGGCAAGGCTTGGTTATGGTCTTGTCAATGGCTTCCCTATAAGCTTTATTTCTTCGAGTATCATTAAGCATGTCCAGGTAAGAAGTATTGGCAAGAAGCTGCTTTGTAGCATCTCCTGAAGCTTCATCTTCTTCAATGACGACCCATTCGGAGTTTCCGGTAAGTGGGTCGACTTTGAGCTGGAACATTCGTGACCCGGAACTCATGCTTCGGACAGTGAAGGCCTTTGAGCGAGTATTGTTAAAGGAACGGAGAAAAAATTGGGGGTTTAGGGTTTTAGGGAAAAGGCACTGCATAGATGTTAAGACTACGAAGAAATATTCCCGACAGTGGTGGATAACATGTCTCGCAACTACGCCGAACTGAACAAAAATATTTTTAGTTATAATAATTAATCTAAAATATTAAAAATGTGAGATTCATATTTAAGCTTTCACCTTTAAATTTGAAAAATAATGATAATTTAAGCATAAACCTCACGCTCTATATATGATGACTTAATAGGTCAAGGTGTACTTTTTTTCAAATAAATACATTGTTTCATTCTTTTTTTGATGTATTTTTGTTTTAATAATAATTTATATTACAAATAAATGTTTATCCTACTTACTCAAGGAAATTAAGAAATATAAATATTTTTTATTTTATAAGAATGTTTTAATTTTATATATCTAACTGCTATTTTAATTAGTAAAATGAGATTAAAAAGAAAAAAATTAGTTAATATATTCTTTTTAAAAAAAATGAAATTTTCTAGAAAGTACAGTAATTTCTTAAAAGAAATAAATAATAGATTTATAAGAAAAAGAAAACTTTGGGTATTATTAAATCAAACTATTAATGGTGGAGCTAACTTTGGGTCTTTTTCATTCTTGAGAATGGTCGCCACTTCTATCAAGACCGGAATGATTATCCCTGCTCTGCACCAGCGACGGCCCCTACCTCATTCCTTTGCCTCCCAACGAAGCCAACATATATCCGATCCGAATTAAAAAAAAAAAGGAAGTTTGATTATTGTAGTAAGATCAATTGGCATAGGCCATAGACGGAGAGGATGAAAGAAAGACATAGAAATTTTCCCCTGAAGCTACTATTAATGGTGGAGCTAACTTTGGATATCTTTTAAAAGGTAAATGAAAAAATTGGCTATATTTGATGCAAATAAAATTAGGGGCATGTAAAAATCGAACTGGTTGATAAAAGCGAATCGAGAAAAGTGTTATTAACGTATTGTTATTTGGTTATTGAGTTAACGGATTTTTAAAAGTTCTATAAAAAAAATTATAGGATTAGCGGTTTGATATTGATTTTTAATATTGGATTATTCGGTATAACCCATTAAGACTAGTAATTTACTAATTTTACTTGTACATGAATATCATATACTAATTTCAATACTTATTAGTAGGTGTTTTTGTCCTTAAGCCTTCAATTTACTTTATAGTAACTTTGAGTTCACAACATCAAATCCTACAAAACATCAAAATCTAAAGTAAGAATCATATTCCTTTTAATTTCTCGTTGTATTACACTTATATAGTTCTTTTTCTTGTGTTTTTATTTTTATTTCTATTTTATAAACATTTGTAAGGTCACATCAGTGTTGTAGACGTCATATACGTATTTTATAAGTATTTAATAATTGGTTAGACCGAAAATTAAATTGTTAAGAATCAAAATTGATAAACCAAAAACCATTAAAAATATTATTGATTTAATGTAATTATAAATAAAAATCAATAAGTCAAATCGAACCGACCTATGCATACCTCTAAATATAACTACTTATTTATTCTATATTTATGAAATCTATCCTTTCAATACTCTATATTTTTAAATTAACTTTTATTAAGAAAATTATGCAGTTAAGCAAATTTATACTATTTAATTACTCAATATATTTATAGTTTGTTATAAATACCACTCGCAACTAACATTAACCAGTAATTATATGGGAACACTTTCAATTTATATAATTAGTCAAGTTTGCATAATTCGTCACATTTCTATAATTATCAACTAACTTTCTTTATTTGGTTTGTATTTAAACATGACAATGATTTCCTTTGGTTTTCAGTTTTATCATTATATACATTCAACCTTTTTTGTATAAATTTTTAAAGTTTGTATAAACGTGTAGTCTTTAGATTTTGTATAATACAATTTATATCATGTAATTTGTATAAAATAATTGTATCATTGTTTAAATTTCATATGTTTATGTTTGTATCAATTCGTTATTTCAAATTTTATAATATTTGTATAATTCGAGACTTTGTATTACTCAATTATACAAAAATACGTGAATTAACGAGATGCAAATTATACAAATTGTTTTTCTCTCTCGCTCGTCTGTCTCCTCCCTTTCTCAATCTCGCTTGCCTCTCTCCTCCCTATTTCAATGTCGCTCACCAGTTATACAAATGCATATGCATATCAGTTACATGTATACAATTATATAGCCGATATACACATACAATTCATCTCTCTCACACTCTTTGTCCTCTCTCGCTCGCCTCTCTCCTCCCTCTCCCAATCTTGTTCGCAACTCTCCACCTAACATTTAGCTATGCCTCGTAATTAGCAAATTATAGCTATGGAGCGAAATTAAACATTTTTGAGTGACTATATGTGAAATCCCCTTTTTTGTTTGATCCAAGTCTTGGCCCAACCAACTTCGCTCAAGCCTTTCCGGGCCCACTTGAAAAAATCATTTTTTTGAATGTGTTTCAAAAATCATATTACAACCTTATCAAATCATGAATTGGGTTGATCGGTTCAACATGTGTAGGTCATATTGACGATTATAACTATAATTTAGATGTCTTAGTCTGAATACTAAAATGATAAATTAAAATCTGAATACTAAATAATTAAAACTATTTTTTTGAACATATGAATATATAGATTTGTGTTTATTTAAATAATAATAAATAATGAATTAATCTACTACCACACCGAAAGAGTGCTTTTAAATAATTATATAGTTATTGTTGATGGTGATGAATAATGAGTAGTAATTAATATTTATGGTGGCTGATAGTAATAGTTTAGTGTTAACAACCAATAGTTATGATGAATAATGTCAATATTAATAGCAATGACGAATGATGTAGGTGGTTGGCAGTATATAATAGTATCCGGCGGTGATGGTTATGGATTGTGATTGATTGTCACTATAATAACGATAGCTTGTGCTGATTGTAAACATTGACTAGTAGTGGTGATGTCTTATTATAATGATCGATAGTGATCATAGTGATTGTGGGAGGTGGGCGGCAGCCATTGGGGTTGATAGCAATAATGTTAACCGAATAAAATTATATTAATGACTTATTTTCTTCGTTTGAAATTCTTGAATACGACTTTGTTACATATCATAATTATTCAAATCTATTTAGATTAATTAGGTGGTTAAAACATATTTAAAAACAAACACATTTAATAATTAAGGTCATAATAATTAAAACTTTATAATTGTCTAAGAATTAAAATTAAGATATACTAAAACCAATAAGCGCCAAAATGAGGAGGTTTAAAAGATGGGATTAGAAATTAAAATCAAAGATTGGAACATAATCAAATCCAATCACAAACTTTTGTATGAGTGGAATAATATCTACCCTGCTATCATCATAGTTGATTAATTAATTGAGTAACAAATATGGTACTTACTCTGTTTCATAAGATTAGGCTAGTCATGTTGTTAATTTTTTTATTTTTTTATTTTGTGTGTCTCCTATTTTGTTGATTTCATTTTGTAAAACAATAATTGCTTCTAGTCTCAATCAATCCAGAAAGCTGAACAGTCATTTTAAAAATTATTCAGATTTAGTTAGTTTTAATGTAAAAGTAAAAGTTGAAATACTTCTAGCTAAAATACGAAAAAACTCCAACACAATATGTTGAATATTTCTTAAATAAATATTTGAATTTTGAATATGTAGGTCAAATTTCAAACTCCAAAAACTAATAATAAATTCATAATAGCAAAACTTATTTGAACCTCATAATATTATTGAAACTCTGATAAAATGTTATTGATCAATTTAAAGAGGAATAATAATGAGTGAATAATCTTTTATCTTATTTTACTTATGATAGCTAGTAAACTTATAATCAAAACTAAGAATATACCATGAAAAAATATTTTGAAAATTTGTATAATCTTCAAATTGTTCAAAAAGTAACTTTATGTAGTATAAAATCTCCAATAGAAATGGATTTTTTGGTTGCAAAAGGAATAATTAATTCCCATGTTTAAGTAATTGACATAACTAATTATTGTTAATTGATCACTTACTCCAGAAGACTAAACTTTGCATGCAGTGTAGTCTTTATTTTTCAATTTTCAAAGGTCTTATTCTAGAAAAATAGTTCTTTTCTGGACCAAACAATTTTGCTCATGTTAGTAACATTTGTAAATATAATATATACTTTTCTATAGTCAAATGAGTCATAAGAATACTAATGGCCAATGCGCTATAGGCTATGTATTTTCTGATTTGTATTTTTTTTTCTATGTTCGATATTTATGTTGAGGTTTTTACTAAAATTAATTAACTTTAATTTGGATTGGAAAAATCTATTTTCTATAGCCATGTACGTATGAAGTTTGGTTTGCTTTTATTGGAGATTTGCTTCTTTTTTCAATACTATTTTTTTGATGGGTTCAGTTTTTTGATTTATTTTTTATTTTTATTAACCCTATCGGGTTCTTAATTACCTATTTACTATTATGTTTTTTCTTTTTCTGTCTTTTCTTTTGTTCATACATATAAGATAAGAATTTAATAGTTTTCTAGTTCTTCTAGTCTTTGTTGATTTTTGAGTGTTACATGAAGTATATTTTATAATAAATATAAAGTTTCTTACAAGTTGGAAATCTGACTCAGTAGGGGGTTGGGTTGGGGTTGTGGACGGTGACAAATATTGCAACTGAGTGTTGATTCGCGAATTTGATAGTTAAATAAGAAATACGTTATTTATATATTAATTTTTGTATAACTTATACGATGTTTTGTAGGTATATAGAAAATAAGTTATTTATGAATAAAATTAATATGATCTTTGATATACAACTAGAAACATAACTAGCTAATATATGTATAACTTATAATTATGAGGCAATCTCTATATATGTGTACAAGTTATAATTATGAGGCAATCTATGTATTACTTTATTTAAGATAGAAGGTGGAATAACTAATATATGTATAATTATATTCTATAAAATATTACATAAATTCACTAATAACTGATCTCTACATTACTAAAACATTCATAACTCTAACCAGCTATTAAAATGTTTGTTACGAAAGAAAATGTTTTTCATGAAAAATAGGTGAGTGTTTTACTTAATTTTTAGTGTTTGGTAAGAAACCAAGAAAATATTATACAATAATATTTATATGTTATCTAGCAAAACATTATGCAGACAAATAGGGATGGAAAGTGAGGATTTCGGGGGTGCATGAAAGCGATAAGAGGAGATAATAAACTTGAAATGTCACTTATCTAACTTGTTTTCACTACTTACATTAGAAAAATTAGTAAAAAAACTCTCATTATTATTTTAAATGTTTTGATTCTCTAAATATGACATGAAATTTCCACTGAAAATTGTATACTAGTACTAGAAATAGAAATCAAAGGATATTAGTTGCATGGAAATTTCAGTTCACTACTATAAGGTCAAAAAAATAGGTCGTTATCGTCAAAGAAAGCATTGAATAGACTTTTTCCTATAATTTCAATTTTTTCAAAAACATTGCTCTCACTATATTCGTATAATCTCCAAAAGATTTGGATTTTTCTGTTGCAGAAGGAATAATATCAATTTTTTAAAAATTGTTTTAACTAATTGTTAGTTGACTTGTACTCTGGTATGAACATACTGAGCAATTTCTATAGCAAATGTCAAACTGCAGACTCAAGACTCAAAAGATAATGAGTCAAGAATTTTAATTTTATCGGTTCTAGATTCTAAAATAACCGTTTCAAGTGTTAATATCTGAGTTCTAACCTCAGTATTAATGAATTTCTTAACACAATAAAAGTTACTGGGTCTGACCGAACCTATACCAGAGTTCTAGCTCCGCTCATGCTCAATGAACTTAAAGACTAGGAATAAAGTCTATTTCAAAGTAATATTTTCTATATAAGTGAAGTCGAGTGTCTAACGGAAACAACCTCTCTATCTCCATGAGGTACTGGTAAGGACTGCGTATACTATTCTCTTCAGACCCCGCTTAGTAGAATTTTGCTTAGGTATGTTGTTGTTATTATTGTTCTCTATATAAGTAAGATTGTGGCCATTGCTTTTTCTAATCTAAATTACCTTTCATCACAAATTAAATAATATGTCTCATCATGACAATTTCAGTGCACCAATGCCATGGATTGGGAGGTATATTGTAGCAGCATCTTTGATTTGCATACTTGCAATGTTAGCAGATGCAGAACAAGGAATTAGAAGGCGAAAATTCTGGATTCCATGCAGATTTTTCACTTTTAATGCTGCTTCATTGACATTGTTAGGGGTTGTAGTTAAGTTGCCACTTGATCTAAACAATCCCATGCCAGGGAAAATTGATCAAATGGCTAAACTTAGCAGTGTTGTCTTTATGTCTACAGCAATGGCTAACTTTATGCCATCGCTCGCGCTGATGGATAACAAGGACATCCTCATGGGCATGACAGCATTGGGTATTCTTGTGATCACCCTTGTTGTGAATGTCTGCATTGAATTAGGCACTGGTATTATCTACTCAGAGAAAACAGAACATATTGTTGTTATGCTTTCTATGGTTGTTCTATTTGTGATCATGTGCTTCTCCGCGCTCACAGTTCCAACTATTAAAAGTTATTTGGAACTGGAGTACAGAGAAAGAAGCAACATGATTGAAATTGATAATCTAGTAGAAGGTGAAAAACCGGTTGAAGTGAAACTGAAAGAAAATTTGAGTAAATTTTTCGTCATGGCAAAAACAGGAAATCCTCAGTTTGTGATGGCGCGTTCTGCTACTTGTGCTGCTTGTTGCGCTATCTGCTGTCTGAATTGTCTGCTGTTACTGGAAGTGTCATTCCGTGACAACTTATTTGATGCACATGTGCTGTCCATGTCTGATTACAGAAGATCAACATATTGCATTGCGAGGATTCAATCTGCTGGAGTGGCAGTAGGCACATTGTCCTCACTCATCAGATGGTTTGCGATTGCTACAATTAAGTCGTCAAGAAAAAGCATATGCATTAAAGTAGAAAAGCATTGGCTTGAGAGACTTAAAGATTGGAAAGATAGTCCCTTTGCCCCGGAAATCAAGAATCCAAAATGCAGAAAGTTAGTCCAGCAGATACATATTATAATCTTGCTAAATTGTATAAGAGTACAGATACTAATTGTTGTAGCTAGCAAGATAGTGCAAATATTCCCTATTCTCCTCCTAAGTTTTCTACGTTTCTGCTTTTATTCTTCCTCACAGTGCAACAACATAATCAATTCTGAATCAGAATCAGCAGAGAGTCTGGAGGAAGACATTAGTCGATATGTTTTACATCTGGAAGGCGAAGAGGAACTGACTCAGGTGACGGCGAACAAGAGGGATGACACCACCTGCATGATGGAAATTGGTAGAAAACAGAAGCCAGAACATCTCATTAAGCTTTTGCAGAAACTGACTGATTTTAGAGGAGTCAGTAAGTTTGACATCAACCAATTTCAAGAGCTACATATTGGTTGGAAAATGTGTATAGTAACTTTAACAACAATTGCCACAACAATACCTAACATTGATCACAAAATGGCGGACAGTCTCTTGCTTAGTGTCAAGGTCTCAAGTATGTCAGCCTCGTTGAACATGTCCTTGGAACCAAAGAAAACTCGGAGAAAAATAAACAAGCAGCAGAGGTAGCGTGGTTGGAGCTATATCTACATCGTAGATGGCTTGATCAAGAACTGCAAAAAATGGATCTTCAAGGAAAAACAAGCAAAGAGATTCTTCACAATTTTGCAGACATAGCGCAAGACTACGCCACAAAAGATGCTTACTCAAGAAAGCTAATTGAAGTTATAGCAGCAAACTCTATGTATCAAATGAGTCAAATCATACTACAGGACAGCGAAGGAATTGATGATCAGACAGAAGCACACTTATTCGATCATATATCTACTATGATTGCAAGTCTACTTGGCGCGATATGCCTTATGCTATTACTAAAAAATGTTCTTCCAATGCCATAGAGATGAGGGAAGATAATGTCCAACATGCTATTCGTCTTCTTGGTGAAACCGAAGAAATAATAAAATTTCTTCAGCAGCATGTCACGACCGGAATCTAGACCCCAGACGAGACCGGCGTCGTTGACCTCTCAGAGGTCGCAGACAAGCCTGCTTACGTCATTCTTACTTTACATAGATTAATTTTAGCGGAAAATTTGAAATTTTTGATTCTTTAATCATACTTGCTGAACATTCTTAACATTTCGTAATCGTTCATCATCAACCATCTAACATTTAAGAGATAAGCAACTGAAAGAAATAATTCATTAAGTATTACTTGTATATCGGCCAAAATAGCACCAATACAAAGTTTGAACCAAAACAGGAAAGAAACGCTAGTGGAACATGCTCCGCTAGCTCAACTCTAAAACTACGCTAGAATGTAAAACGGTAGCATCCTCGAAAGCATGAGGACCTACCAAACTCTGGATGAATACTGATGTCCGGATAGCTGCAACAACGAACCTGTAGCTCTAGCGTCCACCTGTGCTTACACCTAAAAGTAGATGTTCGTATGGAATTAGTACACACTTGTACTAAGTATGAGTATATGCAAGTACACACCAGGGACATGCATGAGGAAGAATAGCTCTTTCCTAACAACATGATTTTTGGAAGTCAAGTCAGTGGACTTGCCAAATTGAGATTGGGAAAGTTATGCCATGAGAGTGACATGCATCATTATAATTATCGTATAGCACACAAAACATAACATATTCATATAACACATAACATATAACACATACTTTCTTTCATATTATTCATTCGTATACCATGAGACCTTATTATCATAGACTTAACTTTAAGACTTTCCAAAATGAGGGCTCAACATATGGGACCTCAACTAGGGAGCCTTCTTTAGCAAACACAGAATCTGCTTCACTCATTCATTCGTATTTCATTTCAATTCATTCATAGGCCAGTGCGAACACCAGGTATACCTAGGATGTAGTTTAAGACTCTCATCGGGTTTGCTGTGCAATGATCAGGAATGACCTAATGTCATTACCTGAATCTAGCTCACCTCTTGATTATCCTATCCTAACACCTTCGGTATTATTCATTTCTTTATATGATTCGTTTGAGGCTGACCTCATTCATTCATTGGGAACTTTAACTTTAACCGACATAGATCATGTGAGCATCATGAAATCCAGTGTCTTCCCCACACCGAAAAGAGGTGGAATCACCGGCCAAAGCGATTCAGTAACATGCTAGCGTATATGGGAATTTAACCCCGCCAGATCCCTATAGTGGCAATATAGGTTCAAAGACTAGGAGATGTATGGAGACCCATACCCGGCAAGCCGGACAGTCTCATCTCATGAGAATTACGTGAACCTCCGCCCTTCCCGAAAGAAGGCATCACCACTCATAGCTAGCCTATCGGTGCTCGGTATAAAGTTCCATTACATGCAACTCATACATCATAGAAGTTTGCTTCTAGTATGAAGACATCATAGCTCAATAGATGATTTCTCATCTCATCATTAGTATTAAGTGTTTTAAACTCAATATTTTTATTAGAGTATTCATAGAGACTGGTCTCTTCATTATCTTACACTCTCATTGGTGAGTATGTATCGGTAACATTTACTTAAGCTCATTTAAGATTGCTCTCATCATATGCATTAACCTCACATCATGATTGTCGCCACATTCTTCATTTCATTACGTATATCTTAGGTTCACTTATTCTTGAACGTATGTTAAACTTATATATCTATACATACAAGCCATGAGGCTTCATTTATAGTTCGTTAAGTGAATTCTTGTTTTTCTAAGATTATGTATTACAAGACTTATGTATCTTGTATATATGCCAAGATCTTTGATTTTTGATCTAAGTAGATGACATTATTCTTGAATATTTCACTCACGTATGACTTATGTATCAATACGGAGGTTTGGACACGAGAACCCAAATTTTGAATTATTTGGATATCATTTATATTTTTCATTGATTTTAGTTCTAATATTCATAAATTTAGAACTCTAAGTTAAGTCTCAACATTTTCGTGAAATAATAAATTTTCTATTTTAATTAGAATTCTAAATTAAATTTCAATCATTTACATGAAAGAATAATTTTCTAATTTAATTAGAATTCCAATTTAAATCTCAATATTTACATAAAAGAATTAATATTCTATTTTTAATTAAGATTCTAAATTAAATCTCAATGTTTACATAAGAGAATTAATTTTCCAACTTTAATTAGAATTTTAATTTACTATTATTATTATTTTTAATTAAATTCGCTTGAATAGGGAGGTTGTGGGTTCGAACCCCCACAGCCCCCCTCATTTTCCTCTTAATTTCGCTGGGAATGGAGGCTGTGAGGTGGTGGGTTCGAACCCCCACAGCCTCACCTTTATTCCCTTAATATTTTTACCCCCCCTTCAGCCCTGAGGTCGTGGGTTCGATCCCCACGCCTTGCATCCCCCCTTTTTATTTATTTATTTATTTTTTTTAATTCTTTGACATCCCAAAAATTTCCAGATTCTTTTTAAACCTATTTCTATGTTTTTGGAAATTTATTCCACTATTTTTCTGCACTTTTTCATCAAGTTTCACATTAGTTCTTAGGGAGATTTCATGGTTCATTCACTTCACTATGCTTCATCAAAATAAACATCACATTGCACACCCATTTCACACATAAAATACATGATAAATAAACAACTTATATACCCCAAAACAATGCCTAAAACACTGCCCTATACACACCCATACATCAACTTTTTCCGATCATATTCTGATGATCATTATCGCGATTTCCCGCACATAAACACATTCATATTTAATTTAAACACATCATTCATGCAAAAATCTAGCAGCACAACATACCCATCCTACAAATTCATTAGGGAGCTAAGGACAAGGACATACGAAGGGGAACAACCTTAGTTTCAAGAGTTTAAGAAACGTCCGAAAGAAAGTACTCTTGGAGAAAGAATTCCATGAGAGAAACTCATACCTTAATCGATGTTCAAACTTTAATGTTGCTGCCCGGAAAACTCCTCCAAACCACTCCCAATTCACTTCAAAGTATACCTCTCTCGACGAACCTCTCTTAGCCTTGACGTTTTGATTACTTTTTCTTTTGCTTAAAAATTTTTTTTGTGAGTTCTTCAAGCATGAAAATTATTGATATTTTGGCAGAAATAATGTGAGGAAGATGGAGAACGTGAGAGAGGGAGTTTAGAAGCGTGAGAGAGATAGGACTAATTGGATTAGGAGACTAATTCAAGAATTAGTCAAATAACATTAAAATAAATAAATACTAATCTGTTTTATTTATTTATTTATTTATTCATTTAAAACGTGAAAGGACAATTATGCCCTTAAATACTTATTTACATAATTCTCTTTTTTTTTGAATCGTTACATTATCCCCCCCTTAGGAACATTCGTCCCTGAATGACACCACCATTTCACTTCATAATGCCAATGAGATCATAACTTAATTGCTATGTACAATCAGCCAATAGCAACAAATACGAAGAGATAAGGAACTATAGTTTTACGAGTAGGAAGCCTAACCTCAAGAGTTGAAAAGATGTGGATATCGGGATCTCATGTCGGCCTCAGTCTCCCACGTAGCACCCTCAACAAGATGGTTTCTCCACAATACCTTCACTGTGGCAATCTCCTTGTTCCTCAGCCGCTTGACCTGTCTGTCTAAGATCTCAACAGGTATTTCCTCATAGGACAAGTCTTCACCAACCCCCAAACCTTCTACAGGTAGGATTGATGCTGGATCACCTAGGCACTTCTTCAACATAGAGACATGAAAGACTGGATGCACAGAAGCTAGCTCCGCAGGCAATGCTAACTCATAGGCCACCTCACCCACGCGCTATAGGATCTCATATGGCCCCACATACCTCGGACTAAGCTTCCCTTTTCTACCAAATCGCATCACCCCTTTCATAGGCGATATCTTCAAGTAAACCTGGTCACCAACGTTAAATTCTAAGGGTCGCTTTCTGTTGTCTGCATATGACTTCTGTCGGCTATAAGCGGTAGCCAACCTGTCTCTAATCATTCTAACTTTCTCCAGGGCTTCATGAATGATCTCTGGACCCAAAATAGATGACTCTCCAACCTCGAACCACCCAACTGGAGATCTGCACCTCCTACCATACAATGCCTCAAATGGTGCCATCCCAATGCTGGAGTGGTAGCTATTATTATACGAGAACTCTATCAAAGGTAGATGGTCATCCCAATTACCTCTAAAGTCAATCACACACGCTCTCAACATGTCCTCCAATGTCTGAATAGTGCGCTCTGCCTGCCCATCTGTCTGAGGATGAAAGGCAGTGCTAAGTTTCACCTGCGTGCCTAAGCTTTTCTGGAAAGATCTCCAAAAATGCGAAGTAAACTGAGCTCCTCTATCTGAAATAATAGACAAAGGAATCCCATGCCATCTCACAATCTCATCAATGTAGAGTCTCGCGTAATCCTCGGCCCTGTAAGTGGACTTCACAGGGATAAAGTGGGCAGACTTAGTCAGTCTGTCCACAATAACCCATATAGAGTCATGCTGCCTCCTAGTCCTCGGAAGACCAACTACGAAGTCCATATTAATGGCCTCCCATTTCCAAGTCAGAACCTCAATAATCT